ACACACACACACACACACACACACACACACACACACACACACACACACACACACACACACACACACACACACACACACATATATACATGTGGGTAAATTTGTGTCCACCCTTTTATGTCCTGTGAAAGTAAGATTTTTTTAAAGCCTTATCATGACAGACCTACACATTACATTACACTACAAACTGTGCATCAAGCATCTCCCATTCTAAATGCCATGGTTGCCTGGTCGCACTGACCGCCTGCTATCACAGCATTACAACATGAAGTTCCATTGCCGGATTATACTTTTATGCACTTTTTTATTACAGTAACATTGCTATTTTGAATGGTGGCTTGGAAGCATAATAGTAACAGACTGACATTTTCCCCATCCCCAAGCAACGTCATGGTCTTCAATCATCATGAATGCAAGAAGGGTTAAACCTGATTTAATGTGAAAGGGGTCTTTCTGTGACTGGTCACAAGCAGCCCAGGATTTTGGGAGCTGTACACGGTGATTTTGTGGGTGCACAAATAAAACTCCAATTCAAATAGTGTCGCATTAAGTTAAAAAGCTAGTTAACCACAGAGAACTGCTAAACTGAGTAAATGTTCATGTTTTGAAAATGATATGAGGAAGACATTTATCAGTTCAACGTGAACTCGCCGGGCAGTTTATTGTTTAACACTGTGGACCAGTCTGGCAGACGGCTGCTTCGAGTCCGCATTGAGTCCGCACAGACCTCCGCAGAACGAAGTATGCCCGACTATGTGGTGGCCTTAAGGCTGACAGTAAAACAACAGTCAGCCTGTTCCAAAACAATCTTTAGACTATCGACACCAATGGAACCACATCATCTGCAAAAAGTAAAGGTGAGACCTCGAGGTTGACAAACCAGACACCCTCCTCATCATAACAGAGACATGAAATCCTGTCTATGCACACTACAAACAGTCCTGGAGTCCAACCTGCAATGAGAACAAGCTTAATTTTGTGCCAAGGATGCAGACACCGCTCCTGTTTTAGTTGTACAGGAACCAGATAGCCCTTACAAACAGCCCTGGCATCCCACACTCCCACAGCACCTCGCACAGGATGTCTTGACGTAGAGGGTCATAAGCCTTCTCCAGATCTACAAGACACATCCAAACTGGAGAGTCAAACCCCAATAGCCCATCTCTCCCACTGTTCCACAATCAAGATGAAAACCACACTATTACTTCTAAATCTGAAGAACTGCAAACCATCTGAGCTTCCTCTCCAACATTCAGAGTAAACTTTACTGGAGAACCTGAAAAGTCCCTGTTTTTAAAAACAAAAACCCTCACTACAGCATGCCAATCCGCAGGTGTGTCAGTCCTCCATGACATGCATCAACTAAGACTGCTCCACAATGTCCAAAACCTTCAGCATGTCAGGGTAAATGTTCACTGGCACACTGCTACCAGGGAGTTTTTAAATCTATCTTTGTGAACTCAGCCATGGGAACAGACACATCTTCCCTCAGGTCTTCAGACTCTGCCTCCTCAAAGTATATGACCAGCAGTCAATAAAAAGATTTCTACTTCAAGTTTGACCAAGATATTAATGCCACTGCTGTCTTTATGTCAAAGATAGCCCTCTAATTTGGTTCAAGTTAAGATTTTTTTAAAGATTAAGGAATACCAGTCATATAGCCATTCAACAAAAGAGCGGGAAGCCAAACGAACAGCTAGATGATGATAACTCAAAGGGTAAAATATTATAGTAAAAGTCTATAAACATGCAACAAACTAGCTCTGTGTGCTTGACTGGCTGATACAGCGGGTAAAATAAGTATTGAACACGTCACCATTTTTCTCAGTAAATATATTACTAGAGGTGCTAATGACATGAAATTTTCACCAGATGTTGGTAACAACCCAAGTGATCCATACATACAAAGAAATCAAAGCATAAATGTCCAGAAATGAAGTTATTTGTAACAATGTGCATAATAATGTGTACGGATCACTTGGGTTGTTACCAACATCTGGTGAAAATTTCATGTCATTAGCACCTCTAGTAATATATTTACTGAGAAAAATGGTGACGTGTTCAATACTTATTTTACCCGCTGTATAATTATTTTCTTCTCCATCAAAACATAAACAATTTCATCGGCTTCCAAACTCTCTTCTGTTCCCACAACCTGTTGAAGTTGCCATAATTTAGAGCTGAAATGCCAGTGGCAGATGGAGGAAAAAATGACACACAGTCTTCAGTCACATTTTGCTTGCATGGAC